ATCGTTCAGAAGTAACGCGGACTTCCGAAAATATGAGGAAAAATCGCGAGAGATCGCGCGAGGTCGAACCTCGCGGCAAGTTTGATCGAATTGGTACGGAAATTTAGGAAACTTTCGCACGCGGGGGCGGGCGAGTTAACGCGATTCTTCGGCTGCTCTATTTTCAGAGAAATTATACGATCTTCTTCCCTCCGTCCTTCTGGGAGACCTCGGGCGGCGATGCAGGTGCGAGTCTTACACATGCGAGGCGGAGAGGCATGTTATACACGCGCGCCTCAGTGCGGTCTCGCAATAGATCCACCACGTAGCTAACGTACGCTACGTTTGCCTTCTAATGTTGCCTCTGGGACAGTCAACACCTGACACTTTCACGTTACCTACGTACGAATGTTTAATGCGCCGCCGGTAATTATTATGAAGTAAATTAGCTGGCGGCGCGTGCTATACTAGATCGCTCCCCTCCCCCGTCCCTCTCTTATCCTCGTTCTCATTAATGTTGCAACTCGTCCGTCCTGTAATTATCCTCTAGCCCGCGATTAACGGTCAAGAGATCGATTACTTTTGCCTCTCGATCGTATTTCGTGTCCTTTTAACCTTCGTGATCGTTTTCACGTGCGTTATACTGCCCGATAGCTTTTATCTGCAGGATAACATTGAGAAGAATCTAAAAGAGTCGCAAAGAGTAATGTAAAAACGTCCCCCAGCTTCTTTTCTGACCCATAGTGTTTTAAATCTAATCTACAATGTGCTTTTTGCTTCCTGTTTCTTGCTTTCCATCACTTTTCACGTTTTGCTTTTTTACCTCTTATTCTGCTTCTCTATTTTTTTATCATCAAAAATAAAAGTTGACGAACTTCAGAAGAGACAAGAAACACGATTGCAAAACGCAATGGTGACAAAAGGGAGAAAAAGGTAAGAAATGAAAAGCAAAAAATAGTAGGGAGTGCATTACAGATTAAGCTTTAAGGTGTCACGTGTCAGCCGAATTTTTTTTTATCCGTCGTCATAGTGTCGAATGGGTGATCGTGTGTTTCAATGGGAATCATTCTAAACTCTAAACGCAATCGTGAAGATCACAATGATTGCCAGCGACTTCGTTATATGTACACCTGCGCGTTGCTCGTGCAACAATGTCATAGACCTGCACGATTCAACTCCCGATCCCCGCAGTGGTAGGGCACGCACGGTCGCGGGTTAAATAACGTCATTTAGTATCGTAATATCTAATTTACTGCGGAAGGGAGCGATGAGCCGCGGGTGGACACGGGGAAGGAAAGGGCGAGGCGAAGGACCGGTGCCACGTGGTCGTGATCCCACGGCGCCGCAATTACAGGCGCCTTCGAAACAATCGTATGTCCCTCTCAAGCGAGTTCAGCGTGCGCTGCGAGCGAAATTAAACGCACGTTCAAGTATAACGTCGCTTCCGTCCGTATATAAAATACTTTTATACTTTACGAGACGCGATTTAGCTCTTTTATCTATTTTGAAAAAAAAATCTTTAGATTTATCCCTTCCAAGAGACATCTCAAGATTTTTTCGCGCTTTTCTGTCTTTAGACGTCTAATCAAGTCTCATTGTAGACGGAAAGGCGTTTGTATCTTTTTGATTTGGAGAGCGAGCGTTTTTATGAAATGTAATCCTTGTGGAGAGAGATCAACCCGAGAACATTATTGTTACGAGCGCACTTCTTGTCCGCTGCTCGGATATACCGATCACTACCATTATGTGGCTGGATTTGTACCGATAACAGGCCGCATTTCCGCGGCTAGTCCTTGCTCGCGATCGGACCTCGTGCGAACCTGAACACCTGTCGACGACCACCAGGTAACGTGACATCACGTCACGTGATGAACCAGCGAACTGCCTAACGCATCCCCTAACCCGCCCCCGACGACCCCGGCGGTAATCGGTCTAATCGACGTCCCTCGGAGGCTCACCACGTACGTGCAAATGTCCTTTGTATGTACATTAAGGATTTGTAAGTTCAGGTGATTTTTCATTTCGCGTAGATTGTTTGCCGCACTCGGGTGAGTGCACTCTTCTCCTTGGGACATAATGTTGTATCTTGAAGAACTATATATATGTGTGTGTGTAAGAGCAGTGTCCTATTTATTTTAATGCTTTTACATTGATATTTCGTGTCAAATGCTCGCGATAATATTGCCCAAACTTATTTACACGAAATATCACGCAGACTGTTGTTAGCACCCCGTACCAACGCTGAAGAGTTTACAGGCATTTTCGCACGCAAAAATATGCTTCGTTTCTTCGCACGAAACGGAAGAAAGTCACCTCTCACGCAGTGTAAACGCGCCGTATACGATCATACACCTCAGGAATAGGACAGGGCGGTATCCAAGGTGGTCGCGTGTCTGGCCCCTTAGTCTCATTCCGCCTTCACCCCCTCACCCCAATGCACCTACAGGGAGCACGGATTCTCCTTTCACCCTCGCACGAAGTCACGTATCGTGACGCCCGTTGTTTCACAACTTGGGCAAAGTTATCTCATCAAGTCGTCACGAGGACGCTTCCCTATACCCTTCTTCTTTCCCTCTTTGGCCCTCCCTCTCTTTCTCCAAGTCCTGATTAAACTTTTTCGGTTCAGCCAGGTATTTATAATCTCGCGCTCGTTCCGCGCCCACTTAGAACCGCAGAATCGTTATCAGGACTTAACTAATTAGCGGTGTTTCGACGGAAAAATTCATCAAAGTATCTACGGTACGGTACGATTTACTTAATTATAATTCGGCGTTTAATTTTCGAAAAGTTATTGGATAGACGTAATTTAATTGATCGCAAAAAGATTATCCATTTATTTATATTATACGTATAAGTGCAGCCTATTTAAGCGCTATAATAACGCTCGAGATTATAAAATAAGCAATTAAGAGTATTTAAGTGTAAGAATATATAAAAAATAATTACGATAAAAAAAATATTCTGATGTCTCTTTTCTTTTCGTATTGTTCTTTTATTAATTGCGTATATTCAATCAGAATATATCGGCATTAAGTTAATGCAAAGATTCGCGCAAGTAGACTTTAATGCCTGCGTTCGACGTGTTATCTGCCACCGAAGAAAGAAACGACTCAGGACAATATTTATGATCAATTCTTATTTTAAAATCGTCCTAAGTAATAATGTAAAGTGCTAATACAACTCTGTGATTAGCTTACAACATCTTAAGATTGTACTTGAGACTGTTTTAAATGTAAGAGCCGACTATGAATACTGGCTTTAGAGTTTGGAGTTTAAATTGTCATTTCGAGAAAGGATCATAATTGTCCAAATAAGAGCATCGACAATGTAATTACGTGCGGATTAATAAATCGTGGCTGAGAAGAGGTATAGTTGGCGAACGAGAAAGAGATCGCCGGTTTTTCATTCTAACGATGTGCTTTCAAGCAACGATTGCACCTATAATAGAAGCACCGGGGGTCTTTTTCATTTAGACTATTTGGCCCCGTTGGAGCACGGCAGGCCATCCACAGCCCTTCGGTTCCCAGGCCGTTGGCAAATTGCGGCTTACCGCGCCAGCACCGTTATTCTTATCCTTCCGCGCACTCGTCCAGGTAATTCTTGGCGGGCCCGGCTACGTTCTTATCGGAAACGGCGCGAAACAACAAGCGGAATCGCTCACACCAGCACCTCATCGTCCCTCCGTCGAGGAAAAAGTGGAGCGTGGTGTCTGCCAAGTCCGATTCGCCGAGTCTCACCTTTTCTCCCGATTCACCTGCGCTCCGCCCGCGTAATCTTATTTTTATCGCGAGCTATTTCTCGAGCCACAATAACGGCTGTTATTGTAAAGGAGGTTGAAAGGTACAATTTGTAAATTTTTTTAATAATACGTGTTATTAACTGTATAATGGGTTTTAATAATGGGCGTTACAATTAACAATCGCAGAATGGATACAAGCCGATTAATTTTCTCTAGACAAATCGAGAGAGAGAAAACTGAAAATTATTTTCTTCTCAATTATTTTCTTCGCAATCTTTATTTTATGCGATAACAATTATGGCCATTTCTGTGAAATGAAAAAATGATAAAAAATAATATTATACATTTGTAATAGTATATTGATTCATAATAAAATGCGAGGATATCTCTCCTTGCATTTAAAAAATTTAAGAATAAAGAGAGATATATATCTTCAACATCACATGCGAATTGATGAGGGCATGAATGGAATTTTTTTATAAAATCCCAAAGAATGAGAGCGGGGGGAAGAAATTGCGATTATTAAAGTAAAAATAATGTGATAGCGTGTATAATCTTATAATTATCGAATCTATCGTGTTGGCAAGTGTCTATTGTGTTCATGTTCGCGGAATAGCGATTTGTAATTTGTACACAGCATGAATACCTAGCGTCTAGTCGAGAAAACCGAGGAATATACCGATAAAGTGCAAAAGCATTTCCGCGTGCAGCGCAGTCACGTTCATCCGCTTATTAATATTTTACGTATGCACTCCCGGCAACCTACGCCAGGTCGGCTGCTCCTCCTACTTTTTTCTCTACACACCTATTTACGCCCCTTGACCGTAGCACCTTCTCGTGGCGTTATTTCGATTGCGAATCGATACAGGGACCGCGAGTCCTAGCGCGAGGAAGCTTTATTATTAAACTCGTAGCTTTATCAAAATCTTTTAAAATTAACATCACAGAGGAATCTGAGCATAAAAGTCGCTTTCAAAATTAGAAATTTCAACATGAGCAGTTTATAAATCAAGTATCAAATTATTAAATGTATAATTTATATTAAATATTTATGATAAATTATATATTGTACAGTATTATATTATATTGTATTTTACATTAATATTATTGTATATATGCGTTACAATATTTGATATATTGAGGATATGTGTTTTGAGGATGCACGAATGATTCTTGAAAGAATTTTCTCTTCTGAAACTTCAGAATGCTCAGTTTCAGACACATATACATGTCTCAATGACATTTTCCATTAACCTTTCGGATAGATTACATTGACAATGAGATGCATGCTAGACAAATAGAAAAAAAAGTCAACGCGATAGTCGATGAAATTCTTGACGAAGATCGGGAAAACGATGCGACACGAGACGAAACTTGTCCAGGAGGTTGTGAGAAATTAGATGATACGCCTAAGGAAGTAAGTTACGCGCAAAGAGTATTTTTTATTCATCTAATAATATAATTAATTTAATCGCTCGTTTTTAAAGTGTTAGCCAACGATCTCTCAAAACTTTATATAAAAAATTATATCACAAATTATATGACAAATCGAATCTTAATTTTTTGTATGTCAGTAAAATATACTGTCAAATACAAGGTTATTTGAGAATATTAGATATTTGTGAAATAGCTTAATGTCGTTACAATTTTGACATTAAATTGAATTACATTAATCATGACAATTTATTATATTCAATTATAACAAAGGAGACTGAAGACTCAAAAGACAGAAAATTTCTTTCGCCACGAATACCCCGGCAGTGCAAATGCGGCGTGGAGACTTCGTCGAGGTTCTCGTTGCGCGTGATGGAAGCAATGCGTTCGCTGCAACGCGACGTGGACCAGCCGATCACGTCGAGCGCCGAGGAGATCGTCGACTACATCCGGTCGCATTATCGCTACGATGGCGACCTTTATGCTCAGGTGCGGACCGCGCTGAGACAGGTCTGTTCTCAAGGGTTAGTTCCCGGCGTCGCTTCATCGAAGGTCAGACGGATCGGATGAAACGCGTATCTCGCACATAAAATCACGTGTGCACTTATACATATATATGTACAATTTTCATGAAATCAATTTAATTTTCTATTTTTGTTATTTTTTTATTAATTTATATTAAATTATCCTTATATATATCTATATAAATTTAATTCTGAAAAGTAATAATTAATTATTACTTATTAAATACACTGCACAGCAATACTTTTAATACTTAAAATAAATATAATTAATACTATTTTTCAGTATTAAATTAGATTTCTATTAGGGTAACATATACATATATATGTATATGTTACCCTAATAGAAATCTAATTTAATACTGAAAAATAGTATTAATTATATTTATTTTAAGTATTAAAAGTATTGCTGTGCAGTGTATTTAATAAGTAATAATTAATTATTACTTATTAAATACACTGCACAGCAATACTTTTAATACTTAAAATAAATATAATTAATACTATTTTTCAGTATTAAATTAGATTTCTATTAGGGTAACATATACATATACATGTATGATGTTATATTATAACACACACTATTTTTAAAATAATGTATGCTATACATTAGTTTAAAACGATATTTTTATCTTTCTCTCTCGATTATGGAAAGATACAATCGTGTTTTCTTCAAGGCAATATTTTTCCACTGTTATTGCGCGACTTATCTTGTTACCAAGCTGTTCATCTATCGATCGATAATTCGGTGCTAATTACGTTGGTCGACACCATTTTGGCCTTAAAGTAAACGAAGTTGTTTCTGATAGATTTTGATAGGTTGATTACGAAAATGGCCAAAAACCTCATTTTTTGCACCTTTAAGTTGGAATATCTCAAAAACTTGACGTGATACGACATTTTCGCGGCCAGATTCGTAATCAGCGCATCAAAATTTATCAGAAACAACTTCGTTTACTTTAAGGCCAAAAAAATGTTGAATTTTTGTCGACCAGTGTTATGTACGGCAGATTTGTATGGCGCTGTATTATACAAAATTCTAGTGTTTGAAAGATACGATTATAAAACTACAATAGAAAATGACAAATATTCACTTGACGCAAAACTGCGGCCAAAATGTTAAAGAGTTACGTTTTCATTGTTATATATAAATAAATAATAAAATAAAGACAGACGCTCTGAGTAGATTTAATTTTTTTTTCTTCTTTTTTTCCTTGCTGTTCTATAATAAATAGTACGCTTCCTTAGTTTTAGAAATAATAGCTTGTTAACAAATTGATGATACAGGTATTTTTTCTTGCCAATTAATTTCTTAAAAATATTTTTTGCTATTTACTATAAATTAATAACAATCACAACATCGTAATAGATTTGTCATGGAATTATTGAGCAACGAGTATCACTTGGTCGGCCCTGTTGTTAAACCAATAAAGCGGAATGGCTGTTCCTTGGATTGTAAAGGTCGCACTGTAGACGATGCATCGAGAAGACGGAAAAGCGTCGATGAGAGAAATGGTGTATGTGGTTGCGCACGATTTCCCAAAAGTCCTCGTCAAGATCTAAAATCGCCACGCGAGGAGTCTCGCAGGACTTTTATTGTCGATCGGCCTGAGGATTCGGAACCAATTTTTCATTCAACCAGAATATCAGCTGACGAAGGGGATGATGCGGATCGTCGCAGGAAATTTGATGCCGATGTTTCGGATATCCAAAATTATCGACAACAACGTGATATCGAGATGGAGCAACGTGACAATTACGCGGAACCGATCCCCGGACCTTCCAGAAAAATCTTGAGAATTCCTTCGCCAGATCCAACTAGAAATGCGAAAAAGGCGCGAGTGAAAGATCGAGGAGTGCAACGTGCAGATGAGAAAGAAGATGAGACTACGACGGAAGATGAGGATATCCCTGGTGAAAATTTTTCTCATAATTTTTATACGAATTGCAACATTTTTCAGAAATACTCAGAAATATTCGGAAAGTTTACATCTTCTCTCAAAATTTTTCAAGTAAATTCTAAAATATTCTGAAATTTCTCATTCCATAATTTTTAAAAAATGTTTGTTAATTTTTTAGATTTTATATAACATTTCATCAGAAATTATACTTACAAAAACTTTTAGAATTTTCTTACGATATTTTATAAGTAACATATATGAAAAATTCTGAGAAAAAATGTAAATAGATTTTCTGAGAAATGTTCCAATTCGTATAAAAAATGTGAGAAAGTTATAAAATTATATAAAAATTCTGAAAAATTATATAGAAATTCCAGGGTTGGGTAGTACTAAGTTAAAAAGATAAAAGTTAAATTAAAAAGTTAATTAATATTTTAACTTAACTCTCTCTTAGTTATATTTTAGACTCTTAACTTTTTAACTTAATTTAGTTACATTTTATCGGTAACTATTAACTTTTAATTTGATTTTTTTGAAGTCAATTCTCAGACACAATGCGAGAGGATAATATGAGTATATAATTTAGTAATTTTATATTGTATAATCGTTACTTGTGAACAAAAATAATCATATTCTTTAATAAATATGCCGTGAGAAAGGAAAAATACGAAAAATTATGTAAAATGGTCAAACTTTTTCTTTTTTCTTCTTTTTTTTGATTGTTTGTTTGGACTAAATTTAACTTTTAACTTTTCAATTACTTTTTTTATTAACTTAACTTTTAATTCAATTAATTTCATTATGGATTAATTTATATATATATTTTAATTAAGTTAAATTTTCAAGGCTGTTAACTTTAATTTAACTTAGTTAAAAAAAAGTTAATTTACTCAACCCTGAGAAATTCTGAAAAATTATATGAAAAATTCTCAGAAAAATTTTCACCAGGGATGGATGTACTTTCGAGGATCCAACCTCCAGATCGTCCTCGCGTCATTAGGAACGGACGTCGTCGCAATGATACCGAGGAAGATGAAGAAGAGGAAAGAATAGAAGATGACGAGGAGGACGAAGAGGGAAGGGTAGAAGAAGAGGACGAAGACACAGAGGATAGTGTATACGATGAATTGAGGGCGCGAGTTCCCCACAGGAGAACTGCGGCACGCGAACGAGAGCTGAGAAGGTGGATTCGGCGATGTCGTGAAGAATGCGAACGACGGAGAGGGCGGTAACGCGAGTTAAAAATTCAGGATTGTATAAACACATTTTTAACAGCTCGAGAAAATGAATGTGATTATTACTTCTTTATCTTGATAATTACTTCCATTAGTTATTGCATGAAAATAAAATTAATATAAATTCGCGATTCTAATTGTAAGATTTTATTCTCCTATACATAATTTTTAAACATATTAGATTTAAAATAAAAAGTCTTGTGTAAATTTCTTTGTTCAATATAAAAATTTTTAGTGCTTAACACAAAGTTTGTTGCATTTATAAGTAAAATATAGATATATATATATATGCCTTTTAAAAATTTTTAATTAAAATTAATAGAAATATAAAGATATAATACCTTTCCCCCATTACTGGTTTTATTATTTACATTTTCATTATTATTTATTTATATTTAATAAATAATTTTAAGTATGGAATTAGAAATTAACATCGTAAATATTACCATGTCATTATGATCCTTTCGATGATTGAATTTATTACGATCAAGTCTGTCAATCTTACACAGAATACTCAGTATCGCTAGTCACAATATTCGATGGATCTTTATTGTCTTTTTTCGCGTTTCTTGATAGAACTCCTATCTTTCGTGAAACACGCAGCATGTTTTTTCGTAAATCGGTCGGGATTAACAATCCGGATTGCAAACCGTATATAAGTGCTTCCCGTATGTAAAATTTTGCACGTCTTCGTCCTGAGGAAAGAAATCAAACAATGACAGTTAATTTACGTTTTATTTGTTTCTATACTTATCTCTTCTTTTCTTCTTCCCGAAAATTCTGAAAAATTTCATTTTATAAGCAGAACAATTAAGATAATGTCAAAATAACGTTAAAATTAATTGTTACTGATTGTAAAGCAACTTTTAATAAACATTTTGGTGCAATTTAACGTCATTTTAATGACTATGTTCTGTTTGTAATAATTTCACAAATTTATGTCTTTTTTTAATACCAAGCTAGATTCTCTCGATTGCTTCGATTGCGACGTTAAAATGAGTTCCCTGATGAAAATAAAAATCGGAGCGTAAATAGGATGTAATGGGAGAGTAACAGAAGCGTAAACGAAACTTCTAGAAGGCGAAAATTGGAACAATGAAATGTAAAAGAAACATTTACATGCTTCTTTTACATGTTCAATTTTCGCCTTTTTATAGAAGTTTACGCTTCGGTTACTCTCCCATTACATTCGACTTACGCTCCGATGTTTATTTTCACCAGGGTTTTTATGTACCATCGCGGACAGCTTTCGTATAATCGGCGATACATTCTTTCGACGAGCTTCTAGATACTCTTTTAAGAATATTTTTATTTGTGCGTGATCGAAAGCGCTCGCTATCGTCACCGGAAATTTCTTCGTCGAGATTCGTATGAATTGTCGCCAAGTCACGTCCACGAATGTCTTTCTTTCTCGCGTGTCGCTTATTGAATTTATTACACGCGCAGTTCCGTTGTCTCCCCTTCATGTCCTGATTGGCGCATTTGCCCAGATATTTGTACACCAAATCGAACACTGTCGCTTTTTCAATGTCCTGTTGGGGGGAATATTCCTTGTCATAATGTTGCGCCGATGACCTATTAAGAGAATAACACGATTAATTACAATAAATTAAGTTAATTATTGTTTTACAACTCTGTACGTCATTTTATTTCACAACTGCTTAATTAATGCCGTGGCATAATTGTTGCACGATCGGTTATTTAGTGCAAGTCTCGTAGGAAAGAACCGAATAATGAACTTTTTGATTAATCTAATATTTTCGTGTCAACAACTGATTAACGTATAGCTGACCTGTATGCACGATCAAACGCAGCGCGATGTTGGCGTATGTTTTTTGGATGAAAAAGTTCCCGATCTCTGGCCATGGCACAGTTTAAAATTAATACGCGACAGTGTCATAAATTAGAAATTAGCTTGTAAAAACTGCAGAAGAAAGACCAAAATTTTATAGTTGCATGAAACAGCCGTTCAGTCGTAGAATAGTATTTTATTTTATTTCTGTTCTGTTTTCACTTTCTATTTATATAAATATGTGACAACATGGCGAGAAAGGAGAAAAAAATGAAAGTGTAGAGAATAATTGTGAAAATCAAAAGAATATTCTTTTTTCGTTTGTTTACATTTTATATTTTATCATGGTCGGTAAAAAAGAAATTTTTAACCGCATACGATAACTAGAAAAAAAATTACTGTGGTTGGTAGAACAGAAATCACTCTTATTGTCTGCTGATCACAAAATGTGCTTTTAGTTGAAAGAAAAATCTTCTCGAAGCGCTGCCGGCTGCAGTCGTATTAGTTTACATCATGGTTGCCTTAGGATCAACTGTAACTGTCAACGCCGATCAATTAGCGGAATAATGTCCAATAAAGTGAGTGTTTTAACAGTTTTTAATGTATTAGTTCAATTGCTGTGTCGCGTATTACATTCTAGATACAGAAATGTACACCTGCGAATTGCATTCCCTTTTGTTTGTATTAATTAACGTGTGAATTTGTCAAGACTGTACTTTACTTACGTTAACCTCGAAATTATTGACATTTCGCGAAGCTATGTAAAGATTATGATAATAGACACAATAGAGAAAGAGAGAGTATTGATTCCATATATTTTATTGCCATTATAAAAAAGATGTTTTATGTACGCCCATTCTTTATTAATTATACAGAAGGCATAAACGTGACTTAATCTAGTCGTGTTTTATTTGTAAGAATTTATTTTAGAAACTCTAACATTGCTTGTATAATTTGTTTTACGCTCTAAGAAATAAGAATATGAAACATACACACATAATAATACCTAAAATAAAAATTTCTCATTTTTAAATGTTGCTTTGATTGGTTCATTTTAAAGTATCTAGTTATTAAGTAATAACTAGTAGTTATTAAGTAATATAAAGTTATTTTGTCATTGTTATTTAATATTATATTTAATAATAAAATATGTAATATTTATTGTTAACTTAATAAACTATTAAATTGTTATCAAATATATAACTTCATTACAAACTAAAAAATTATATTTTGTCGGTCAGGTTAATATTATTTATTTTTATTTAAATTTTACTAAGTGTATATAAATTCTATTTTGCTCCAATAAGAATTTATTTCTCTTTAGGGAGCAACTAAAAAAATTGGACCTAAAGATGAAGTCAAGACACGTGTTCGGTCAAAACCGAAAATGTCATCCAGTAATGAAAGCAATACAGATACATCGAAAAAAACAGATCCTAATTTTCCAAGGAAATCTCAAACTGTTGAGCATAGAGGAGATGGAGATAGAGGGTCCAAATCGTTGCAGAATTCCTTGACAAGGACACAATCGATTAGAAATACTATCAAGCCATCCATCGGATCTTCTCAAGTTAAGACTGTCAAATATATATCCTCAACATCGAAATCTAGTCCACTTAATGCTTCGTCTAGTCATTCATTAATGAAGAAAAGTACAACCTCTAAGATAAGATCCGAAAATGTTACAAAATCAAGCGACGACAATACGGTCAAAAAGAGGAAATCCAGAGAACAAGTGGGATATTCAGAGAAGAGAGGTCAGAGTACAATATATATGCCAAAATCAACTACAGACAAGCCCAATATTAAATCTAACGAAAAGATTACGATTCGAGCGTCAAGGGATAAAGAAAAATCGCAAGATCTCTCTGCACCCAACCGAACTAAACCACGAATGTCGTCCAGAGAACGCAGGAAATCCAGGACGCTAAGTCCAAGCGAGATAAGAATGCTACACAGTGCCGTAAGGAGACCGGATGTCGTGGAAGAAGAGCAGAAGAAAGATGTTTTAACAGACAGTCATTCTGGTACACAAGCAGACTCGAATGAGGCGGACTACGATTATGAAGATGATTTTGAGGTAAGAAAAAAAGGAGGAAAAATTTAAATGAAAGATATATATGATAATTTTATATTACTTTGTGTTGTCTTTTAGGATTATGAATCGGACTTTCAAGAATGCACTGACAGCGGTACTCCCTCGATTAGCGAAAAATCAGATAGCAGTGGAAGCAGTTCCCATTTAGAACCGATCGAATTGCGCCTCCGAGAGAAGGTATTATCACTCGCTGAATACTTATTCTATATGAATACTTATTCTTTATGTCGAAACGCATAATTTTATAAAAACGATTTTTGTAGAAAAATATGGAACACACAAAGGTCGAAGAGGAACATATGCTTGATTCGGGACATTATGATCTAGCAGAAGCGAAAAAACGGGCAGCACGGGTAGAATCTATGCTTTTAACGCAATCCAATACACCGCCTTTACCTGAATTAAGAGAGCCAGTTGGTAAAACATTTAGGTTTGTGATAACTAAGATCAAGTATCAAGATGAATAAATGAATACTTGTAAACTTATTATTATACTCGCACATTTCTTGTCATCCATAGTTGTACGCTTTTATTTGCATGTTTTTCTCTAAAGCGTTTTATTTTAAAAAGAATAAAGTAAAATACATGGTTAATTTAACGTGTTCACATTTATTTGGAGCAGTGACGATAGACCGGCGGAAAATAAATCTTTGCCATCGTCCACTGATGAAGGCTTCGAGGATAGCCGTTCTGGGGATTTTACTAGATCTCCGCCGCTGTCGCAAGTACCATTTATCGATTTTCGTAAATCAAAAGAAAATCGCCGTGAAGAAGTAATTTACTTTTACACAAGAACGTGTAACATTATCGTAATATTAAATACATTATACATCTAAATTGCCTTATCTTTCGCAGAACTCGCAAAAAATACGAAGTAGAGGCGAAGAATTGTTGGAAATGATAAAGCTGGACTTTATGGAATGGTCATTATTAGAATGCAATCCTATACCCTATGATGAATTTATAAGGAACTACGGGAAATTAAATATGCAACAAGTATGTTATTATAACACATTATGATAATTGTACTGTGATCGATTGAGTATTGTATATTGTTTTTTATAGGTGTTTACCCAAACTGGCGACGACAATATAGACATTGAGATACAAACGGACGAAATGCCTTGTAAGAACAAGTGGACGCAGTTTCCTATAACTTGTAGAAAAGAATTGCGTGATAAACGAGATATAAATTTATTTGAAATGGTAATAGTTTACATTATTGCCTATACAATATCGATAAATATAATTCTGAACGTTCTAAAAATTTACAGGAGCAAATAGGCGTTGGAAATGATTTGGACGAAATGGACGATATAATTTTTTTGTCACGACCATCGTATGATGTATTACGGTTAAATGATTTTCTTAATCGTGCGGGTGCGGTTGTATTATCGTTATTGGAAGAGAGGGAACATGGTGGCACCGTTTTTCAAAATGATGTAAGCGACTTAGCATTCAGTGATGGTTTCGTGAAGCTCTCTGTAGATACAGTAACATTCTTAGCTACCAGATCAGTTAAGCTTATACATTATTCGAATGTTTTAAATAAAGTTCTGCTTACCATTCACGCTCCTGTGGAAGAGGTACGTGGCTGCTATATTATTTAATTATGTAACAAATTAATTAGTTCAAAATGAAACATAATTGACTTGTTATGTATTGAACAGGAGTTAGAAACTATAAGTAAACAGGATTACATCACAGATTGTTGCATTGGATGCGTTTGGAATATTTCCGAACCTTCGATGCCGAAGAAATTATTCTATTCGCAATGCTCTATTACGGCTTGTTGCTTTCACTTAACGAATTGCAACACGGTGTTTGCCGGACTCGAGGATGGGTATGCAACTTGAATTTTCTTTGAAGTTCTTTCGTAGTTTTTGTAATAATTAAAAAATATGAAATATTGAAATTAGGTCGTTGAGTCTCTGGGATCTTAAGGAGGATGAGATGTGGCATCAGAAGATTACAGATAAAGCTAACGAGTTAGATTGGGTGATCAGAACGCCTACTTATACGACAACGGCAGAGTTAGAGGCACATACATCGCAAGTTGTTGCGATACGCGTACTATCTAAGATCGAAACTACCTGTGCTAAAGAAAGGAGCAACAAGTTTGTTCCTATTCAGGTTGTCATTATATCACAATATCGATACTGATCTGTTAAAATTTAACCCTACTAATCCACGCTTATTTTTAAACGAATTTGATAGATATGTAGTTTAGATGAAGATGGTTGCCTCATAATATGGAGTATCGTGCACAACATGGGTATAAATATAGATGATTTAGGGCTCTCTCACTGGGGTAACATAAGACTTATAAAGAATCAGAAAACGTTTTTGACGAAAAAAGACTCAGAAATGTAAATAAAATAGATTTGAGAATTGTTTTTTGGAAAGTTCAGTACATGTCTGACATTTCTGTAACTGCTCGATTTTTTTTTAGAATGAACATGTTTGTTGATATGCATGTAGACAGTGCAAACACAAATAACATTTATATCACGACTAACAGTACTGATGTCTTGCATGCTACTTGTATTGGTAATAGAACTAATCCATTAACATACAAACCAGTTGAGATAAGTGAGTGGAAATAATATTATTATTCGATGTATGCATCGAACGTGTATTATGTGTAACATTAAACTTATTTCAATTAAATATTACAGGTAAATGCGGTACTTCAACTTGCATTGACGTTTGTCCTTTTGGTCAATCCTTTTTCTGGGTAAGACTTCTTTCGTTGTTTATTTTAAAAGCTTTATTCTTATCTCAATTTGATTTCCATCAGGTTGGCTGTAACGACGGAACAATTCGACTTCATTATTTAAATATAGAGAGACCGATCGTACAATTGAAAAATGGACAGCATTCTGACGAGATTAAAGCATTGCAATGGTCGAAAACGAAACCGTTGACTGTATATACTCTGGATAATAATTCTCGGTAAGCCTCATGAAATGAATAAAATTGTAAATGAAATAAGATGGAGCAATTACGAAACTTATAAATTTAACAGAATTCATGTATGGGATTTGAGTAAGAGTGATATCTGCCCTATACATATATTACCTATGGGAAAGTGGGGAAAGATAAGCAGCATGCAGCTGTCTCCTTGCATAATAGATCAAGATATGACGAATCAATATCTGGTGAGTTTAAAAAGTTAACATCTTAGGGCTCGAAAGAGATTTTTCTATGTTATAAATTTAAAATATATTTTTTTAGGCTATTGGCATGGAATCTGGTAACATAGAAGTACATAAACTGAAAAAAGATTTCTATTACTCAAAGAAAGAGGAATTTTTACAAGAACTGGACATATTTTCGCGATACGTTTCAATATCATAAACGAAAATAGATACATCAATAAAGTGAGAATATAGGCATTAATAATTTCTTTAGAATTACAATTGTTATTTCCAAGAATTGGGTATAGAAAGATTTCACCGATTTTATACTTCCAGTATACGTGCACTTGCAATTATTGCAATAACCGTTCCCTTGTTAGACAAAAGTTGAAATTCGTGCTCTTAATTAATGAGGGATATACAATTTTACATTATCCTGAAATTGTAATTTGTAAGATTTTCAAGATAATATTTAGTAGTAATTATCTTTGATAACTTTGAATAATATTGAATTTTTCCAATGTGCAATCTAATACATTTAAATTGTTATAATTTTATATATCTTATTATATATAAAACGAATGAGATTTTTGTGCACTTGTTTTTATCTTTCTATAATATACAAATACACAATATTCCGTCCAGGGAAAAAAGTACCAATAGATGTAGAAAAAAATAGTATTCATAACATATTTATACATACATTTATATAGTGTATCCTATAAAACATATATAAATAAGAACAAATGATAAGATTATACAATTGAAATATACATAGAATTTTATACATAGCCTATCCGATTTGATATCGAGCTTTTTTATGTAGGATATTGATAATGTAATTGAAATGATATGATTTTATTTTAAAAATAAATGTAGAAAAAATTTTCATAAAAGAATTTGTTTGTTTAATAACTGCGGTAATATCATTCAACATCAATCATTCTACTTCAATGCGTTTGATATAATTGTTCAACTACTTCAATAATAACTTTCGAGATCTGTTAAATAATTGTTATTAAGCAATCGTTATTATTATTAAATAATTATATTTATATATTTCTGTCATTGTATGTGTGTGGCTTGGATAATTTTCAAATTATCTTTTTACATAATCTCATTTACAGTAAACAACAATTACACAAATAAAAGGAATTAAATATCCTAGTCAAAGAAATAAAATAAAATTATCGAAATATTGAACGAGAATACATATACAAATTAAAATAATATGTACGTATATGTATGTATATTATATGTATATATATATATACGTATATATTATATTATTTACGTATATATTATATTATATATGCATATATATCGTGCATTTATATACACATAATATAAATGTATACAAAGAAATATAAGTATATAATATATGTAAATATATTCTATACAAATGCTTTAGAAAATTATTTATAAATTATTATTCATAATAATTTAAACAAATATTTAAAACATATATATTAAAATTATTAAATTGAAAATTTCTGTTTCTTGTAAGAATTTTTACATTTGTCGTAGTAATTGCTGTTTAATTATCTTTCGATGTATAGCATTATATCATTGAAAATTATGCAAACTTAATCAATTTGTTATTAATTATTTAATTTTGCAATTTCCAAATTTGATTTCCTCGAAAGTAAAATGCTTGAAAAAATTAATCTTTTTATGCGAAATTATATTATATCACCAGTAATGAACTATCCTATTTATATGGCATTGTATAGAGAGAGTAATCTATCCATCTATCGTCAGCAGTTCAATAATAATCGGTTTAGAGCGAAGATTATAATCACGTATAGGAAAAGAATCTCTGCACGAGAAATCCATGCACTAGCAGCATTGCAAATTTCTTGCTTCACAAACTCTTCTACAATTTGGTCGTAACTGCGTCCCTTTAACGTATGATGACCATGTAGCTGTAAGTAGCGTGTACCATCCTGCGATAACAAAATTCATAATTATTATCGTACTCAAATGCAATCATTTATTAGGTGCTTGAATTAATTCTCTGTTTTTTGCTACAAAAACTCATGTTTATTTCATCAAAAAGGTACCTGACATTTTATTCACAATATTATCCATCGAAAGTTACAACCTTTTCCTACTTTTCGGATAACAAATGGATTCCGCGGTAGAAAAAATTCCGCGGTTTTTTTGATATCTTCAAAATAACTGAAGTGCTGCTGAGAAAGACCATGCTGCACCGACCGAAAAAAAATGGTAATCTGAAGGAGCAACGTCTGGTGAATAAGACGGGTAGGATAAGATATTCCTCCAAGATCTCCTTCACTGGTTGTACAACATGTGGTCTAGCGTTATCTTGAAGAAGAATAACTTTGTCATATCTTTTGGCATATTGCGGACGTTTTTCTTTGTATAGTGCTCGATTCAAATTGAGTAATTGACGTCGGTAGCGTTCAGCATTGATGGTTTGACTCGGTTGCAGCAGTTCATTACACCGACTTCATCCCACTAAATGCACAGCATGACCTTTCCATGACCTTTCCATGACCTTTCCATGAATATCCTGTTTTGACGTTAATGTTGATGGTTCGCCGGGACGCACCCATGATTTCTTGTGCTTAGGATTGTTGTAACGAATCCATTTTTCATCGCCAATCACAATTCGATGCAAAAACGACTTCTGTTTTTGTCTTTGAAGCAGTATCTAATTCATAAATGGCTAAACATGTTTCGCAATATCTTTTTCTCTTAATTCATGTGGGACCCAGTTTCCTAGCTTCTGGATCATTCCCATTACTTTTAAATGTTTGCTAACGGTTGACTCATCGACATTTAATGTTTCCGACAACTCTTTGAGCGTCTGACAGTGAATCTTCTTGAAGTAATGCCTCCAATTTGCCATCTTCAAACTTTTTCAGCTTATCAGGGCGTTCTTTGTTATTCACGTTAAAATCATTGTTTTTGAATCTTCTAAACCAATCTCTGCAAATCGTTTCAGATAGAGCATGCTCCCCATAAGCCTCCACTAGCAAACGATGACTTTCAGTAGCAGATTTCTTGAGATTAAAACAGAAAAATAATGTTTCCCGCAAATGCTCTTTTTTTTTTGGTACGAAACCTGACATTTTTAATGCGATAAAAAATTGTATTCTTTACTCTCTGATCAGATGTTATATACTGATTATTAAAACCTATTGACAGTACTTTCATGTACATCAGTAATCACTTTTGGCCATGCGTTGAAATAGCACAAATATTGACTTCTCCCGGTCAACAGCGAGAATTAATTCAAGCACCTACTTACTATACGTTAACGTTGCATATTTTACTATCGAAAAAATAAAATAACATCGTCATAATTTTTTATACGTGAATGACATATGCGTGACAGTGACACTTTCGCGTAATCCTAATTCGAGCAAAATTTACCAGTATTTGGCTTTCGTTCGACGGACGCTTCAGGAGATTTTTGCAAAGAAAAATGTTAAAAGGTAGTGAAAATCCTGAAACACGCGTTACTGATATAATGTGCGACTATTGCGCTTGGATCAGTAAGATCTTGGCCAGAATCAGCGCTGAGGCTCAGATCAAGAAAAAGAAGAAAAAGGGAGTAGATCCGGTTGTCGTTGTTCATGGCGGTGCTGGGAGAATACCCCGATACGCACGGAAATTTATGCTCGACGAGGTTAAATTATTCGCTATTCACATTATACACATTAAACAACATAAGATTCTAGGAAAACAATTTTGCACAGCCCAAAAAAGTCTATAATACAGACCATTTTAGACTTCAGTATATATTACTTAGGTGGAACTTTTAAAATACTTAAGAGATTATGTCGTTTGAGAAAATTAGGAAAAGATCATTTTTTTGGAACAATATATAAAAATATTGTTTAATAATGAAAATGTTGATCATGATGAATGGATTAGGTAAAGAAAGCCGCAATAGTGGCGTATCACGATCTAACTAATAAAGGATGCTGTTCGCTGGACGCAGTTGAGCGTGCAATTTGTCACATGGAGAGCAAAAAATACTTCAATTGTGCATATGGAGGCTCCTTGGATGCTAATGAAGAAGTCGTGATGGATGCCGCGATAATGACGAATGATCTTCGCGTAGGTTGCGTGGGTGCCGTTCGAAATATAGCACATCCTATAACATTAGGTCTGTCTTAGCAAAATGCTTACATCAAAGAAATCAGATGTTTATTTATGATCTCCTTGGTGAAAATTTTTCTCATAATTTTTATACGAATTGGAATATTTTTTAGAAATACTCAGAAATATTCGGAAAGTTTACATCTTCTCTCAGAATTTTTCATACAAGTGAATTCTGAAATATTCTGAAATTTCTCATCCCATAATTAAAAAAAAATATTTTTTAATGTTTTAGATTTTATAACATTTCATCAGAAATTATACAAAAAATCTTAGAAATTTTACGGTATTTCATAAATAACATATATGAAAAATTCTGAGAAAAGATATAGATTTTCTGAGAAGTGTTCCAATTCGTATAAAAAATGTGAGAAAGTTATAAAATTATATAGAAATTCTGAAAAATTACGTGAAAAATTCTGAGAAAAATTTTCACCAGGGTTGCTTTTAAATTTCAATATTTCACAATCTTGCAGCCAAAATGGTCTTGCAGCAAACGGAACATGTGCTGATAGTCGAAGCTGGAGCGCAAAAGTTTAGCTTGGAATCAGGCATTCCTACTTTGTCACCTGGCCAGTTGATCGTTACATCCGATTCGAAGACATCCTTGCACGAAGAAGGAAATAACGGTAAAGGATAGAAAACGAACTATTTTAAAGATACTAATCGCGATACTGATGAACATAAGAAGCACAAGGTACGAGAAAGATGCAAGAGCTTTTAGACGATGGGGACAAACAATTTGATAAAAAAGAATGCATACCGGAATGTGTAATTGAAAGAGATAAAGAGGAAGGTGCTACTCTCGAAGTCGCTGGGATAGACGAATCCTTGGAAATTGAACCTGATTTTATACAGGTTAATAAATTTATCATAATGGCGAATTATATGGAATATTTAGGCAAAAGTATAATTCTCAAATTTTTTGAGATTTATCTAATTTTTTAAGATTTCGTAAACTTTTTTTTCAAATATTTTAAATATAAATTCGTATCTATAGTAACTTGTATATAATGTAAAATTTTAATTTACATTATAAGCTTTATGTTTTTACTGGTCTAACAAGCCTATAATTTGTGAAAATGAGATAAAGAAATAGAAGAGTAAAGTATCTTTCAAAATCTTATATAAATCTCTTTTTTTGTTTTTTTTTCTTTTCTTTCTTTATGGATCTAATATATTTTTACTCTAAATATTTTATGTAATTGAAATATTTTTATATTATGATTGCCGCACAAACATTTTATAAGAAACTTTTAGAAAAAATTACTTTAGCTTGGCGCGGTTGGAGCAGTGGCATAAGAAACGTCTCGCTAGCGGAACCTCGACGGCTGGAGAATCAGGAAAACTGCACGGAATCGTAAGTGCGACTGGAACAGCGATCGGTTGCGGTATTTGTGTTGATAAATGCGGCTGTATATCTGTTTCGGGTTGCGATAAAGCTATCTACAAATACGCACCAGCCCAGAGGATCTTACGACGACTGCGACGAAAAGCAACGTCGATTGACGAAGCGGTTACCGAGGTGTTAAAGGACTTCGAGGAAGAAACCGGAGGATCATTTCCATCGGAATCCAATGTAGGTGTAATCGCGTTGACTGCCAAAGGAATACCATCAGTATCCTTTAAGTGCGCACATTTTCCCTGGGCGTATTGCGACAAAGGCTATGTGTACTACGGATGCGCGAGGAATGAGATTTTCTCAGAGAAAATCGATGTCATCGAACGACCGTTAGATTGCATGTGTGAAGATTCAAATTAGGTCAAACGCGATTCACCAGAGAATCATTAGATTTTAGTCAGAGTTGTAATAAATTCAACTGACACATCTCTGATCAAAATAAATCAATTGCATCTCAATATTTATTTGTATTTTTAATATCCTATTTAATTCTTTTTTTCTTTCTTTCTGTTATTTACAGAGTGAACTTTACCGAATCAATTTGGAATAATCTTATCGATTTTTTACTATATGTCAATGTTTTTACTATATGGAAAAAACAGTTTTGCTGAAGTATCTAAAAATTTAGCTAGATACAGATCTGAAAATAATTATGCTAAACCATCAAAATAATTATGTAGGACGTTTGAACATGATCCCAGATAGCCAGACGTGTCAAAAGCACGCGCTGCAAATTTATGCTACATATTATGTTGGAAAAAGTCAGGCAGCAATCGGTTCTGGACAGTTGTGAAATTTCCCTTGTTAAAAATCTAGCATATTTGCTATCACATTGTGAGAAAGGTTACTCAGCAAGAATACCGCACGATTTATTATATCAAATACTGACAGCAAAAACAGCAAAAATCAAGCATAGCCTGTCGTCACGATGTGACTGCTCAAAACGGTATATGTTGCGATTTGCTTTATCAGCTATTGAAGGCAAAAACGCAGTAGAAATAACGCTATCGTCAAATGTTATATCGTACCATAGTTTTACCGATAGGCGACGTGACGCATCTATCAATATTTATCTCGTATTTAAATTTCTGTGTGTGTCACGGGCAAATATAAAAACTACATAACGCGACTAGTGAAAATAAAAATGTGTAATATTTTCTTATCGGTTTAATTTCTGACACAATTCCTATAGAGAATTCTGAATATTAAATTGATTTTTTTTAAACCGAACAACAATTCTCTTCTATGGAAAATTGTTCATTTACTAACGCTACTTAAGATGCAAAAAAATTAAAAGTATAATTTCTATTTAGCAAAATCTTATTCTGATTAAATGTACTTCTTTAATAAAAATGTATTTAGTTAATAAAAGTTAAATGATATAAATTATATTTATGTATTATGCGTGTTTTCTGCCGCGTTTTTTGCAGTCACGTCGTGACGGCGGGCTATACTCCATTTTTACTGTAGTTTTGCTGTCACGATATCTGTAGCAAAGAATGCTCGATTTTTATTGCATTTCTACCGTCGTTCCATATTGGCAAATTATGCTGTTAGAAAATAAGCTTAATGAAGAAGCAACAGCTTGATATCTGCTGTAACGTCATGATCAAAATTGCTGGCGTATTGCTGGTGTACTGCTAGCATTTTGCTATCTGGGATGACAATGCTATAAAAGTTTGCACATTGAACAATCAGCTTGAGCGTTCAGTATAATTACTTTGATGGTCTAATAAAATTTTCAGATCCGTAATCCACTTAAATTTTTAGATACGTCAACAAAATCGTTCTTTCTATGTAGATTGAGTTACATACATTTTTTTTCATGAAATAAAATTAGTCCGTACTCAACTTACAGGAAAAATAACACCATGATTATCCTCGTAAGGCCCGTATAATAAGAATGTAGGTGCCTGTCCGTTGAATTTTCTTCCAAATATCTTATCCATTTCAAGCAGCATTGTATAAATTTCTTGGCGTCTTAGATTCGTGATATTCTCGTGTGCCATTATCTGCCAAGACAAAAAAAATTTATATTTGCAATAAGAACATCTAATATTAACTAAATCACATGCTAAAGAAGAAAGTTATACCGATCCGAGAGACGCCCAAGTGAGCAAATACGGAACTCTTTTTATAGCTTCTGCTAAGGTCGGGCCTAATATTCTGTACTTAGGCAAACGGTTTGTATTCTTATTATCAATTCTCTCATAATAAAAATCACCTGTGATATTAGAAGGCATTAGATAGAACCATAATATAAAGATACCCTGGTGAAAATTTTTCTCAGAATTTTTCATATAATTTTTCAAAATTTCTATATAATTTTATAACTTTTTCATATTTTTTATACGAATTAGAATATTTCTCAGAAAATCCACATCTTTTTTTCAGAATTTTTCATATATATTAATTATGAAATATCGTAAGGAGAGAGAGAGAGATTTCTGAGATTTTTTATAAGTATAATTTCCGATGAAATGTTATAAAATTTAAAAAATATATAAATAATTTTAAAAAATTATAGGATAAGAAATTTCAGAATATTTCAGAATTCACTTGTATGAAAAATTCTGAAAGAAAATGTAAACTTTCTGAATATTTTTGAGTATTTCTGAAAAATGTTCCAATTCGTATAAAAATTCTGAAAAAAATTTTCACCAGGGTAGTTAATCGACTCAACTCACCGGCTTCCGTTTTGTTTTCTATGACTTTTAAATTGACGAAAGCAACGTCGACGACACCGGAAGCTAAGTAATTAAAAGTACTTAGATCGTCACCCGCATGTTCCGCACCTGCAACGAGATTGCAATTTTGATTATTCATCAACTCGTTTCCTGTATGATTATAACGTGTTTTATATCTCTCTTGTATACATTGTTCTTAGCGAGTCGTAAGAGTTTAAACTAGGGCTCTAATTTTATTCCGTTTTTCGAAGATACGTGTAAACGTAAAATGTTTATCCGTTTATATTCGCTTTCAAAAAAACGTTTACTTAAAGATAAACGTTTACACGTTTAATTAACATATCCGTTTATAAAAGAAACATTTTTCCGAATATACGTGTTTTATTATACATTTAAACGAAAATACATTTACATGTATATTTAACATATCCATCTATGAAAAACATCTTTTCGAATATTTTAATGTTTTTTAATAAAATTAAAAATCGAATTTTTTGCATTTTCTCAATTCGTCACACTCCTTAATAAAGAGATAAACGTTTATATAAAAAAAGTGAAAATATTCGGAAAAACGATTCTAATAAACGGATATGCTAATTATACGTGTAAACGTGTTTTCGTTTAAACGTATAATAGTTAATTACACGTATATTCGGAAAAACGTTTCTAATAAACGGATATACTAATTATACGTGTAAACGTATTTTCGTCTAACGTATAATAGCCGCGAGCCCTAGTTTAAACGGTCTATTACATATACAATGCATTCATATCTTTATGATAGTTCATTTATGAGCGCTTGCACACTTATAATCGTGACTGTATGTATTCTCTATATCTTACCTTCCTTGCATAACGAATGTAAATTAGCCGGGAGCTCGTTGTCATTATTTTTATTACTCCAACCGAGGACACAGCTATCTTTGAAGAATTTCGATATAGCCTGCGCGTCCGAGCAGTCCCAATTTCCGTTCGACTCGTTCCTCATTAACGTTACAAAAGCGTTCCAACCTGGGACCAAGAGACCATAACGGCGAAATGGATTAAAAGCAATTCTGGAGTAACTGAAACTGCGAAATACGAAATTATATCCCATTTATATAATCGCACCGACGCTTCTGTAGCCCGTGAAGGCCGCCTTGGCACCTTTAAGATCCTTCATAACTCTGAATCTGGAATTCCTCTTGACAACCGCTGCGATCCTATTCAATTCTTGCCGGCTGTTCGCCATCGCGTGGATAATAGGCTTCAAACCCATCCTGCGAGAGAAACGATTTGATAAAATATTTTAAATTTTTATTTGCCATGTTTACGTTCGTCCGCTAATATTTAGGTACTTACATTTTGTTCTCGAGAAGCTCTTCGGGCCGCGCTAAGAAAATGTCCGTTCTTCCATTCCGTATGGCCTCTACGCATGCTTCTCTGCTAGTTTCTTGAAGACAGGAGATCAACGGTTCCACACCGTAAACGATAGAAGCGTCTCTTAGCCAGCTGCACTTACGCTTTTCGAGATTGGATACCAGACACCAACGTACGTCTCTTGATGGTAAACAACCCGTTCGAACGTTAGCGCTCAAGAAATTTGGATCTTTGAACATCGACATTGTTGAAACAAACGAGATATATTATTTGTCATATTATATTTATAAACATTTCAAGACGCTTACTTTGTAGGAAACTTTTATATATTGATTCTAATTTAAATTAAAGTTATTCCACTGTCACCTCAAATCTTAGTTAACAATTAAATTAATAATTAATAATTAAATTATTAACAGATTTTAATAAATAGAGACTAACAAATTGCATACATTAAAATGTTTATGTGGTTCAAAAAGCTATGTTTGACAAATTATATAGTTATAATAAACGTTATTAGGTGCGAGGAAAGTTTGTGAAATTGACAATTATATAATTGTTCAGTGATTAACAAATAACGTTACATGTTTTAACAAATTACTTGTTACAAGAAGTCCAAGATAAATAGCCTAGTTGTATATACATTACATCGATGTAAATAATCGTCGGGCGTTTGCAAATCTTTCACGTCAGTAGAGGTAACGTAATAGTTCTCCATCAGCTGCAAGACATTGGATTCCCAACTGAACGTCCTGTTCATCATCGAATTCATCATATGGGCAATATTCTCAGCATTCGATCTGACGAAAAGGAAACTTTTTAAATGTTTCAATCCTACATAAATTATATGTTAAACAAAAAATAAAAATGTTACGAAGTTACTTCGCGACGTAAAATTCTCTAATTCTTTGGAGTGAATCTCATTCCAAAAGAGTGAAATCTCACTCCAAAGAATTTAAAGAGAACACTTACGGTCTAGCTACAATGACTGGCCATGGTTTAGATATCCAGATGCAGGGTTCCTGAAAGTTTAACGGTCTCGTGGTGCCGTCTGGGCATAGAAACTTGTAATCTTGCACATCGATCATCTGTGCCTGTGTCAAGTACGCTAGATATTAGTACCGATACGAGTTGGATTGTAATCCACTTGAATTATAACTTTTTAAAACAACTTTAGAGCGAGATTTGTTCTTTCTGAGCTCACTGTCTCAAGGATATTGCAATCGAATGGTCTGTAAGTTGACTTGTTAGTTACCTTGAAGTGTACCCGAGCGTCTCCCAATCTAACCCAGGCAACGTCGCCCATGCCATCGGTAAGGCATAATAGGGCACCCTCCCGTCCATAATATTTGTCGGTGTTGTAACAGCTAGCTGGTTTCTCACAAGCGGCGCAGAGATTCCTATATTTCGATTCTGCGAATGATAATAAGGATTTTTCCGACACTTATTCGTACACGAAGAAATGTAAACTTTCATGCATTAATTATATTTATACACAATATGTAATGCATTTAAGTAAATTATATAATGATTATAAATAAATCTAAATATGCACACGCATTTAAAATAGAATGTTTGTATTCGCATATGTTTGTAATTGAATACATACTCAATTGATAATCAAATACTGTGTCTGCCGACCAAGGGCCAGCGATGCAAGCCGTTTCGAAGTAGTTGGACAGAGCATACATTCTGTTCTCGAACAGCGTCATATTTGCGTCGCATTCTTTTTTAATTATCAGATTCTCGAAGTACTGAAATACGATAGATCGACAGATAAACAAGATTCTAATGCGCACATTGATATAAAAAAGAGCTCACCAACCATCGAGAAAATTTTAGTCCAATCATCGACTGTATCTAAACCGGGATGACACAATCGTTTTCCTTTGACATCCCATATGCGTTGCACATTTTTGTGCGCTATGGCTACTACCTCAAAACGATGATCATCTAAAAAAAAAAATGTCTCATTTGTGGTGATTGTAATTTTAATGTAGTTGAGTTTTTGCTATCAAATCTGTCCCGATTAATTTTTATTGGAAAAATTCGAGATTATTAATTTCGAGTAATTTGAATATTATAGTATTTATAATAAGGAATTTATTGATTTGAAATCAATAAATTCTTTAATTAATTATAATTTAAATTTATTCAAAAATCAATGATTGAAATTTAAATCGACAAAGTTGAGACACTTTATGTGCTTCTCGTAATTTTTTATCTTATAATAGTTACCATCTGAGAAGAGTCTTAATTCATTCGTGACTAGTACATTGTATAGTTTGTAGTTTCTTATCGCCATAAGTTCTTCTGGCTCCAACACAGTGATGTCGACTTCACCATTGGCTACTCGACGTAAACAGCCAAATCTATAAAGAATTACTTTCATGTAAGAAATATATTTTTCAATACACATGCATTTGGAAAATTAATCAATTCGCAAGTTTTGCAATCAAATCAATCTTTCTGAAAAAGCCATATCTTCAACGGATTTTTTAGTAACAGAAAATTATTTTCCAAATGACTCACGTTTTACATATAGAGGAGAAGGTGGTATTATGGCCAGTGTATATGTTGTGGCCTCCCTTAATATCTCCGCTATTACATAGCGAATCCTAATGATTACTTATGGAATTATTAGTTCAGTAGCTCGCCGTTACACCATGACACTAATGTTATCAATACTCAATAACCAGCACTTATTATAACGCATTTTTACTTTCAAGTATTTCGAAACGTTTCTGAGGTATACTTTAGCATTTAATTACACCTACTTCCCCCCTCTCATTTTTCTCAAACTTGAGCGTATTATCACATGAATATATGTATTTTTGAGTGTGTTATTTGCTATTTAACATTTTATTTGACTGTATATGTTTTGAGTTAAGTAAATTTAAACAATACCATGGCATTTTGCTAATGTGGCCCTCTATGGATATTGATTACTCACGACCTCTTTTTTGAGGTTTTCATATCAAAATCAAAATAATTATTTGATAATCGATGGTATCTGTATTGTTAATTTATAGCTTTTTTTATATTACGTGTACTATTTTCAGTACTGAGCAGCTTATATATATGCAGAAATTGTGAATGTATATACATTCATTTGCATACATTTTAAAATATTTTACTTTTTTGTTAATTTTAACCAAATGCTGTTTTCTAAACAAAATTAATATTTTAAGGCTGTTTTTAATAAAAGGTCACATTACCATCCATTTTTTTCTTTGAATCATTATGCAATGTCGCATTTTTATTGATAGTATCCCAAGTAATAAATATTTCGTAACTTTCAGTCCAAAATCAATTCAACAACATTTTAATGAATGTAATTGTCAAGTTTTAAACTTAAATATTGATTATTAACGAAGTTATTGTGTAAAATGTAACTGGGGTGCCATAATACCACCTTCTCTTCTACATATAAGATAAAAAAAGATACGCTAAAAATATACGTGCTTCTCGAATAAAACCTAAGTGATACATTACATATCTTTTTTATAGTTTTAAAAAAGCCGCTTTTTTAAAATTGCTGGAAAAAAATCAGAAAAATTTCGGTTTTTTCCGAAAAATTGGTTTTTTTTGGAAAAATTGCCGTTTTTGCTATGTAAAAGACATGATAAGTAACTTTTAAATTCCCTTATAAAATTAATGCGATCTATGAAATTATGTAGCATTATTTTTATTAAAATTTTTTAATTATCTTTCTATTTTTATAGTAAAACCTAATCTAACCTTCCTTTAGTACATAACAAAGCTTAAGTAGACAAATTTTTATTTCTAGTTTGTCACACTTCAGTCTAATGAATTCCTGAAGTGTCTCTTTGTAGTTTCTTTTTTTCAAATATTTTGTTACGAATTCAGTTTAAATCCAAATTATTTTCTAGACCTACTATTATCATATAAACATGATGTTTGGACTCTATATTTTTAATTCTTAATTTTTAATTAATTAAATCTTGCGTTAATAGTGCAATAGTGTATGTTTTGTATGTTTTATTGAATACATTATGCGACCTCAATCTTTTATACAATTTCAAAATTTCTGTTAACTTTAAAATTTCTGTTATCCCGCTGTGTATCCTATACGCAATTATTTTCTTTACAGAAAGAACCGAGGAGCAAACGTGGTAGGTTACGTGGTAGGTTATGAGCACGTGTGACTTTTTCTACCCTTGGGAAAAAATCCGCGGAAAAATTGCAAAAATTGGGTTTTTTTCCGATCCTTTAAAACTATAATCTTTTTATTATTCCAACCCAAATAATATTCTTCTTCAAAGATATTCTTATTGAAAGTTTTCTTCTTATTTCAACCTAAGTAATAGCAGTTTTAATTTTCTGACAAAAATCATTACTCTTCGAAAAAAACTATTGTACCAAATTAAAAATTAAAACCCACAAATGCTACAGTCTTAACTAACTAAGTTAAAGTCTATCATATTAAAAAGCAAAACCCAAGTGGTACTATCTTTGTTATTTACTTAACTCTAATGATATGTATGATTCGTATAAAAGATTTGATATCAACAACTAGTGCCAAGTTAATTTTCCAAATAACTCATATTATATACATAAACGTTACATTGATATTTACAAGAGGCAATAATTAGCTTTCACTTTTAGCATTTTGCGTCGTACTATACTCGAACGCGTAAATTTTAGGCGCTATAATTCGCTAACTTTAAATGATTATAATTAAAAAATTATTATAGCCTCGACATTTTGGGATTAGAATTTTTGTCTCAAAATAATCTTATAACACGTCTATTGTTATAATATATTGTTACGAAATGTAATCTTTTAACTTGTTTAGAACAAAAAAAAAACAAAAATTTCTAAATGTTAAAAATTGAAAAACTTTCATCGTAGAAAACTTTATCATATCATTATCATTATGCGTTATACTTACCTATCAGTTTCTATAACACATTCTATCGGACTCTTAGCTAGTTTCGGGCAGAGTGAAAGAATTCTTTGCGTAGTATGTACACTATCGACTAAGCACAATGACCCTAAAACATCAATTTCATATTTTGTATACAGGATTTTTTGAAATAGACAAGAAATATTTTTGAGAATACATATTTTATATTAATTACGTATTATTAATTTTTTTCATGCGTTCAAAAACAAACTGTTAACGTTTATGTAAAAAAACAATTTATTGTTACTATATTGTTGATTATTATAACGATATTGAATAAAAATATAATTTTATTGATACAGAAGAGTCCAATTTTATAAATTTTTCAGATGTAAACGTATTTCAGATGCTTGCCTGGCACGCAAAAATAATAAAAGAACAATTAATCACAAAATACATACACGATGCACACACAAGCGCGTGCAACCTTGCAATTTCCGTTTATGATGAAACTTGCGTGTTGTATTAGTGAATATACAGTTTAGCAGTTTAACCGAGAAATGGAGAATTATTTTTTCTTCCATAATAAAAATTTTCTTATTAATAATATTGTATTTATTTGTCATCTACAGATTAATTTACTTGGACAATATTTCGAAATATGATATATCCGTAGCCCTCACTGATGTGATAACAAGAATACTAGTTTCGCAATTTCCGTCTTACTTACACTTGTTAGCAGCATTGACGTATTCGTAACTATTTACGAAAGCTGTAACAAGAGATAAAATGAACCAACAAGCGATACGAAGATCCATGGTCGATCTTCGCTCTGCTATCATCCCTTTGAATAAAATCTGTTTAACAGAATTTCCCGAAAAGAGATTTTCTAATTAACGTCACCGCACTCTCGTGATTTATTTGATTATTGTGGCCATCGTACAAAGAACAGTAATATGATATAGTTATCACTGATTGTGAGTTAAATTTTGCTGGACCAACTCAAGTGGAGCCGCCTGTATTCTAAACGTTGTATACAATTACAATAAATAATTATCCACTTAATTTAAATAGTCTTACGCGCAAACAGTTTTCATAATATTTTCAAAGAATTGAGATATCTTTCAATATGTTAATAAAATATATCTAAGAAGGACGTACGAAATAATAACGTTCATTTTTAGATACACTCTTCCACATGATATCTAATCGCGCGCGCGCGTCGACACAAATAATAGGTTTCAAACGATTATCTTTCTTAAAGGCAGTAGATATATTCACGACATGTATATGTAAAATAAAGTATTTATTATAGCGCGAAGGACATATTTTTTCTCGTGTTAAAAACCGAATTAAATCAAGATTATACTGTTATTTAAAAAGTATCGATTTTTCAATAACACGTATAACTTTCGCTAAACGAATAGGATAGACAATGCGTTCTTTTGTGTTTGGAGCAGATGTTTCTGCTGAAACGTTGTCGGTGCCAAAATGTAGTAGATGCCTAGGTGAAACCGCACACTTTCGCTTTCCGTCCTTGAGACTTTTTGCCGACGCAAGGAATGCCTTTTTGTAGAACCGTCCAGATCGCTTATATCACTGAATCACATATAATCCACAACTGATTGTAACTAAGAACGAAAGTTAGCTTTGCTCCAACATGAAATTGTTCACGTCTAACAAGAAGCTACGAAATATATTTTCCTCGATAAATTCTCAAGTATCGTCGATCTCTTGAATCACTCCGAAAATTGTCAGATTTAAATGCTTGAATTCACAAAGGGATATCTCCCGTTTCTTCCGTTATTCCAATCTTGAAAAATGCTAACTCGCGTTCGATCTTTCAACTTTCCCATCGTGTGCTTTTACATTGAGATTCTTTTTCGCTCTTCTTGTTTATCTACGACGTTCCGTAGGCAGACGAACGCGAGAGACGCGTGTTCTGCTGAGAATATGCCCGTGAGAAGACTGCGAGAACTCGCGGTTGAAAATATCATCTGACACGCAATCGCAAGTATAAAATAACCACACTGAACATGAAAGTCCACGAATCCCGAACGAAACAGATGAACGACGGTCGACCGAAGATTCTTACTGTCGAACGGCATGTATCACGCGTAGCTGATGATACTCGGCGCTGATCGGTCAGGAAAGTCCAAGTATGCGGGGAGCTAGAATGATTAAATCTGGTGGGAGAGGAAGAGAGAGAGAGAGAGAGAGAGAGAAAGAAAGAAAGAGGAAAGAGATCAAGACAATAACGAGGAACTTCTGCGTAATACGCGCGATGCGTTACGAAAGAGATGGCGGATCATGTTGAAAAGGAGAGAAAGAGAGAAACTAACAATAAAATGGAATTACTTGCAGTTTTAACAGGAGAAATATATTCCAAGGAACTTTTGTGGAATGAGAAATGTTGCTAAAGAATTATCCACAGTCGCGTTAAAATCATATTTTCGAAAAATTATGTGGACGTTTGTTTCCATAATTTGTATTTTTTGAGACCAATCTCTTCCTCAGAACTTTTAGCTTCTTGTAATATCTGTTTTTCAGAGAGATATACGAATTCTAAATGTTTCTTTTAGATAATTCTGCTTCAACAATTAACGATCAGAACAATGTGGGTAGCGCATTTCTTATTATCTCGTTATTAAAGAAGATATGGAACTAAATTTATGGGTATATTATGGTAAAATGATTCATCATTATATATAATTAATTTTGAATGCTCGTTAATATCGATGTATATCTCAATCGTAAAAGAAAGATAGCGTGACAAAGAAGTTTTCATAGAAGAAAAAGTTTCGCTTGGTGCTTCATGATCAATTCGTTTATAATAGAAGTATAATTTTATTCACTTTATCTTCTCTAGTGTATCTTTTTAACTGGATAATTTACTTCAATATGTTCGATCGGAACGTGTGGTTCACGTACACGTGCAAGTGAGTCATACTCATTAATAAAGCCGCAATTACAGTTTTTATTGCTCTTGTGCGTTCTTTTTCTTTGTATTAATGCAGTAATTATTATTAAAGTAAATTAGTCACAAATATTATTGTATATTGATAGACATTGCTGTGTTCAACAAACGATTGATTATATAACATTGGTAGGCGGTAAAATGGTAACAGTTTTACG